CTGGGATCCTCGGTGTTCATCCAGACTGTACCAGTTTAGCGCTAACGTTATTTAAATGTTCAATAAAATCATAAACGGGTGGTTTGGTGGGTAAATAAATACTGACTGCTGTCAGGCTTTTTGTTTTCCACACGTAGTTTAAAAGCTCTCAGCAGAGCATTATGCACTCATTTGCAGGTCAGAGAGAGATATGAATATTATTTTGGCTGTTTTGTTTGTGCAAGCAGACGGGGATGTCTGTTGTTTTACAGCATGGAGGAATTTAACACATCTGATGGGTAATCAGAGCAGGAAACTGGAGCTGCTCGAAGATTCACATCTGCATGTTTTCAATTTTAAGATGGATTTCTGGCTCATCTCAAATCGGTGACTTCATAGCTGGTGTGGTGGTGGTTAAGTTTATATTTCTTTCATGTTCACTCTGACTGATGTCACAGATTTGTGCAGAAACAGATGTGTGATAAGAATGAATGTGGCTCAGCTGCTGCTTCCTGTGTAACTAAAGTACTGAAGGACTCTTAGGTCAACATCAGCTCACATTTGGAGGGGAGCTGTTGATAGTTGCCGGGTGACTGTTTCCTACTCAAATTACTCTGCTGTGATTCGTTCTGGCCTGTATCTCACCATCTCAACCAATAAAGGCAGTTAAATCAGACACTGTTGTGTAGCTTCATGTGCCGACATTATTTTTGAAGTAACTTTCAGTGCAGATAGCAGCTCTTACACTGGATGATGTAGATGGGCAGTGTGAAACTAAATTGGGGGGGGGATAAAATTTAAACTTTATGTAGTGCATTTGGAAACTGATCTGCAACAGGACCATGAAGTTAAACTGAGAGATGCATCTGGCCCTTCAGCTGATGCATCTAGGCTCATCAGAAATGACATCAGTGGCTGTCAAGGCGTTTTTAAAGAAGTGTGACGGGGTGCACAGACTGAGGTATGCCAAAATACACATGAACCAGACTGAAAATCAGTGGCAGAAGATCTGATGAGTGATGGATCCAAATCACTGGAGGACAGAGTCTACAGCCATCTGTAAAAGATCAAGGTGCTGTTATGATTTGGGACAGCATTTCAGCCAGTGACATAAATGGACTGATTCTGATATAGCACTTTTCTACTCTCCCAGAGTACTCAAAGCGCTCTATGCTACATTCACCCAATCATTTTCTTATAAACTGAGTGCTTCCTAACTATATTCATACTCCCATGGATGCAACTTGGGATTATTATATTGCCCAAGGATTCTTGGCATGTAGACTGGAGGAGCCTGCTCACCTTCAGATCAGGTGACTGGCTCTACCTCCTGAGCTACAGCCACCCCAAATGTTGGAGATCTTTTTAAAATTTATTGATTTATGCACCCAGAAAAGTACCATCAAATTTTGATAGACCATGGAATCCCATCAGTTTTCAGCATGACAATGATCCCAAACAGCATTAAAAGCAGTAAAAGTACCCACCCAAATCACCCTGGGTAACATGCTGAATGAAATAATTAGTTCATTACCAGGCCTCTGGAAACCTCAAGACATGTTGAGGAGGTCATTTAGCCATTTAAATCAGCTGTGTTGGATCAAGGACACATCTCAAACCTGCAGGACACCGGCCCTTGAGGCCTGGAGTTTCCCACCCCTGGATAGAAAAACACAGTGGGACACTATCAGGCATGGATCGGCCTCCTCAGAGCCCAACATTATTAAAGCAGTGGGGAATCATCCTGACAGATAACCAAATACAGCCAACATCTTTCAACAAGCCTGGAGAAATATTCCTGAACAGAAAGCCGCCTAAGAGAGTTCAGGTTGTACTGAAGGATAAAGGTATTGACTTTCAAGCTCATTGGAACTGTACACAGAAAGGAAGCGTGGCTCAAGCCTGCGGCACGGTTATGTTAAAAAAGAGTTTTAGGAAGGTAAGATCTCAGTCTTCTTCAGTCTTCTTCATTTGTCCATGTTCGACAAGCGTTTCTTTGTCTATGGTTCACTGACATCATCTACATTATATTGAACAGCAACTCAAAAATGTAAAATTAAAGGTAAAGTAATAATTCTGACGCAGGTGCAGCTGATAAGTGCATCGTGTGACGAGCAGAAAGTGTGATGACTCTAAATAGCCTCCTGTTAACATTTAAAACTCAAGACATAGACTGTATGTACTGTAGCAAGAGTGGTTATTATGGTTAAAGTTGAAATGTCAAAGATCATGAAAGTGCGATGATAATAACACTGATTCATACTCATCTTCTAATAACTGATCGATCGTATTTGTCCAGGTGACAACAGCAAGGTTAATAAGTTATTGATTATAGTTGTCGTGGTATGCAGCCCCACCTACTTTTAGTTTAGATCTTCTGATTCCGTGGGGCAGCCAATCAGAGCTGGCTTTAAAGGACGAAGGGCTTCAGACACAGGACGAACTGAGGGGAGCTTGGCTCAGAGGATTATTATGAACTCTGGATTATGCAAAGCTACTCTTTTAGAATGGAATCCTTGTCTTTCTTCAGCAGCATACAAATAAACATCCAGTGGCTCTAGTGGTAAAATCATCAGAGCATCTTAACAGCTGAACTGCAGCTCACTGAACACATTTTGCTGTTTCAGTAACATGTAGCTGTTTTTGCTGCTGGATGACGCATGTTTTATTTAAGTAAGCAGCATTTCACTAACTCCACCTCTGTTTAAACTCTGACTACTGTTTCTGTGTGTGTTCAGCAGGTGTGGCGGCTGCTCCAGGTTGAATTAGCCACGCTTGAGGAGTCATAGACTCTGCAGGCTCGAGCTGTATAACAGCCCCGTAAACAACTGGAGAAGAAATAAAGTAAAAGAAGAGAAAAGTCCTCGTTACACTGGGGTATTGTTGCTGCTTCTATTCTTCTCTTCTTCTTTTTTTTAAATTTTGTGTTATGTGACTGTTTGAGTCTCAGGGGAAATGTCCGTGTTTGATAAAGTCCAATTACGTTTGTATCAGTTGCAGAAAATAACAGACACACTCACTGTTAGCTGGATTCGCCCATCTTTCTTTCATTTCTTCTCTCTCGTTTCTGTGATCGCCTTCTTTACTTTTTTGTTCTGGGATCTCATCGGAGAATCTGGGATGTGCTTTATGTCTACATTCTTTGTTTACCCATAAATTATTTTCTTCTCTGATTTTGTCTCTTAAACTTTCATCTTGAAAGCTCGACCCATTTCATTTCTCTCCTCCTGTTTCCTTTGCTCTTTTCTACCCTGCTCTTGTAATTGTGTTAGTTTTTTCTTTATTTCACCACTCACACTCTTCTCTGTCTCCCTTTTCTTTCTTCTATTTGTTCTTTTCTCTTCTTCTTCTTCTCCATGTAACCCTCCCAATATCATAAACTTTCCCTGTCCATGTCCTTTCTTCCTTTGCTTTTCCTTTTTTGTACTTTTTTTTTGTCTTCGTTTCTTGCACGTCTCTAAATCTTCACATTTTGTCACACTCCTTATGCAACTTTTCAAAGATCGCTTTGAGACATATTATAGAATATTTAGAAATACTTCCCTTTCAATAATAGCAGAACAACATCAGGCACTAGTTATCTTGTAAAAAGGTAATCTTCTTGTACTAATCTAAGTAATCTTTCAGATTATTAGGACACAGCTGTTCATCCTATCTGCTAGAAACTTGTGAGTCCTGAATAAGTGCATTGTTAAATTTGAGCCTGTCTGGATGAGCGGTTCTCATACTCTGGCTAACCTTTTTTAACTGTTAGAGAGACTTCTGCCATCCCCAGACACAGGCATGTTCATCATTCATTTACATTAATGAATTCCTGGAACTCTTACATCTCATTTTAACCCTTGAAACTTAGGGCCAGACTTTGACCCAAACATAAACCTAATTCCAACTTTAACCCTGAGATCAAATCTTAACTCTCAGACTGATCTTTGAAGGAGCGAGACAAAAGGCAGTGTTTTAGCTTCCAGAGACTTTGGTCACTCTGACTATAACTGGGCAAGATTTAATTTAGTTTCATTTATTGTCCTCACTTTCAGTAGCCTCCATGATGCCACTCCGTGGTTTTGGACTGTTCATTTCAAAGCTTTAATATTTGTGTTTTAGTCATCACCATGGTCTTTGTTGGAGCCTGAAGCTCCAAATTTGCCTTCATCTGAACAACTGTGTCTCAAAATAGCCCAATAACTCACTCAGTGATGTTTAAAAAAAAAATCATCAGCACTGTTTTTATGAAGTGGGAAACTATCCAAAGTCTGCTTTAAAAAAAAATGTAACAGGCTGTGAACATGCTTTTTAAATTCGGTAACATTTGTCACCAGCCTCGTGCAGGGACACCTCCAGCAAATTTTGGGGGGTGGCCAGAGCCCCTCTGGCCCCACCTTGGTGGCAGCCCTGGCCTCGTGTCTGCTAGAGGAACAGCAGTTTTTAAGGCTTCAGTATATTCTCCTTTCAGTGATGTCACAATAATCATGAAAGACGGCAAACTTTAATTGCTGACAGACGGCCATGTAGTCTGTTATGTCTCTTCAACAAGAATTTTATTTATTATCATGTAATTTGACCTGCATGCGTGCTTATCAAACTAAAAGAGCTGTACTGTCAGATCCCTTTATAAACAACGATAGACTCCCTGGAGCTGGAGCTACGAGTTTTGTTTCGCCAAAGGGAGTCTATCGTTGTTTATAAAGGGATCTGTCAGTACAGCTCTTTTAGTTTTTCAGCTTCAGTCGTACAGTAAATGGACTTTTTGCCACTAAGCACTTCCACAGTTTAAGTATATAGATTAGAAGAAGGCCTGTCCCCTGGTAAATCCTGGTTTTGAAGCTTTTGTTGTGTTTCCCCTTCTGATTACGGGGAAAACAGAGTGGATGTAGCTGGAGGGAGGAGAAGTTTCCTCTCTTTAATCAGCAGTTTAAAGATTGTTTTTAGGAAAAGTCCCTTTGTTAGAGAGTCCGTCCTTCCTCTTCAGTTATTCTTCAACCGAACTTTTTTTAATCTGAGTGGTAAAGCACGGAAAACTATCAGCCTTCGCCAGTCGCCTGTATAGACTGAGCAGGGATGTCAAAATTGTTGTTAAATTCATCATAAGTAAGTAAAATACTTCTTTTATCCTAATTTTTTTTTGCCTTTTTCAAATCGTTATGCTTAGTGATTTCACAAGAGATGTGATCATTTGTATGACAGGATATAGAGAATCCAATTTTTAAGTGCTTGACCCATAATAGAGAGCAGAAATCTTTCTTTTTTGTTTGTTTGTCATTGTTTAACTTTGATGGATCCTGCAAGGATAGCAAGGATCCTGCTGGTGCTTAAAATTGATTTCTAAGCACTGAATTTGTTCTGTTAAAATAAGGCCTGAGTTAATATTAAATGTTTTAACTCAATCTTTCAAACATTTCAAAAATATTAAGTTGTATCTCTAACTCAGAGGAATTTATCTTTCTTTTCCTTCAAGTTGAGTTGTTGTTTAATTTGTTCATAATTTTCATTCTGAGTGGCAAAATAAATGTTTGTTATTGTTTTTAAAGTCTTAAATTAAATTGCCTTAAGCTGCAGAAACCCTGCGATGGTCTAAAACACTAAAACACTTGCTAAAACAGTTCTTTAAACGCTGGGTAGTGTCCATGCAAATAGTTTTAATGGATCGCCATTAAAACTATTTGCATGTACGCTACCCAGCGTTTTAAGCAACATGTTTAAAAAAGTTGGTTTCCAGGCTTAATTTTAGGGTGAACATTAGATCACAGACTGTGAAGGACTAACATCAGGATGAGGAGTTGGGCAGCAGAAGTAAATTCAGTATGTATGCCTGGCTTTTGGGTATTTCTACAAAGAGAAACAGTACTGAAGCATTGTGTGGAGTGCTGTTATCGGAGCATGAATCAGACCGTGGTTTAATGTGCTGCTGCTGTTTGTTCATGGTGGAGGGCCGTAGTTGGAATTCCACTCAGTCGTATCAGCAGAGTTTGATGGCTCTGATGTTTGTTGAAATTTGTTTTACGTCACTGTTGCTGGGAAACTTCCTTTAAAGTCCAAAAATATCTCAACACCGAAAAGTTTTATGGGTTAAAAGGTGATATTTTGACCAGGTTGTAAAACCATGGTCTCTCTGTAATCTGACCACAGTGTATCACCAGTGGCATAGTTACAAATCACTTTTATAAGATTATAGTGCAGTGGCGAGTTTTGAATATGTTTAAGAACAAAATCAACTCAGTGTATAAATAAAAGGTCAGGATTTCTGTTAACTAGGTGCTTTCATGGACGATAGCAGGCGACTTTTCACCTCAGGAACCAATGAGCTGTCGCCTGTCACACCCAATCAATTGCAGCAGATGGCTTTTTAATATTGTAGGGTCTTTACCATACAATATAATGTAATAAGAATGCGGAAATCAGGTCTTTATGGTCAAATAGCTGCTAAGAATCCACGACTAAGTGAAAGCAACAAGCAGAAGAGATTTGTTTGGGCCAAGAAAGAAAAGGAATGGACATTAGACCAGTGGAAATCTGTGCTTTGGTCTGATGAGTCCAAATTTGAGGTTTTAGGTTCCACCCACCGTCTCTTTGTTGGACTCAAAAAAGGTGAATGGTGTCTACATGCATGGTTCCCACCGTGCATGTAGACACCATATTTCTGTCAACATTTCCTAACAATCCTCTTAAGGCTGCACTCATCGGTGCTTCCTCTGCCCCTTTTCCTGCCACAATTTAAATTTTTATATTTAAATCTCCATTAATTATGCTCCAGTACAGCGCTCTGTGAACAGCCAGCCTTTTCAGCAGTGGCTTAGTCTCCTTGTGGAGGGTGATCATCGCTTAATGCAGGTTGCTTAACATTTAAATGGACTCTGCAGCCCAACTAACCCAGTGCTTGATTTCTGTTCTTACTACCAGTAAAACAGCCTTAACTTTGATGGTTTATTTTAGTAACAGTACCTCGTTAAGTTGTAAAGGATGTGGCTCAGTGTGTGTGTGTGTGTGTTTTTAAAGTGACTGCACGTGCATCATGCGGTCACTTTGACTCATATCTATCAAGCCTGTGGTAATTTGAGGGAAGCCATTCTCTCCACTTTTCATTAAGCACAAAGGCTGAGAGACTTTTTTGTTAACACATGTAAACATTTGTCATCTCTTGCTTCCAGAAATCTTCATCCTCTTCATCATGTCTAAAATCCTTCCCCCACAACATTCTTCCCATGTGAAATCTAACTTGTTATCAAAGGCAAAAAGCTTCACAGTCACAGATCACCCCACCACCCTCATCTCCACCATTTCCACATATACTAACACCACTGCCGACCCAGCTGTTGCCTTCATCAATGGCCTGCTCGACCGGATACCCTGTGAGTAATGAATTATTTCCCAAGTAGCCAAAGGATAACTAGAGTTAAATATGTGTTTTGATATCTTGTCAGGTGAGCAAATAAGTTAGATACAAATGCTAGTGATCTCCCCCTGCTGCCGATGAAAGACACAATGATGAGAAGGGTCTCAATAATAGCTTCTTTCCCCTTCTCCCCAACCAGTCAAAACAGATGGCTGCCCCTCCCTGAGCCTGGTTCTGCTGTATGCTGTGTCTTGTAATATAAGATGCCTGGGTTTAGCTGTTATTTGGAACGTGTCTTGAAATTTCACTAAAACTTAGATGTTGTAGTTTCTACTGCCTAAATGACCAACAACAACACAAACAAGAGCAGCACACAAACTTATTGTTGCACGTATTTTTTATGATAGCACAAAGTTATTACATGTATACGATGCTCTGCAAAGTTGTGCATAGGCTCATTGCACAACCAAGCTAGTCTCTTATGTCATCGTTGTTGATGTCCTCAATCTGAACCCTCTGCAATCTGAATATGTCATTTTCTTTTTTCTTTTAATTGGTCTCTGAAGACTCGGTAATCAGGAGGCCAAGAAAATGAATATTTGGAAATGCATCAAAACCTATCCTTATTTTCAAAAACATCCGTTTAGCCATTCTCCAAAATCTAGAGTCAAAGTTATCACTAATGATGACTTTGATCTCAGAGGCTTAAAGTTAGTCACACACAAAAGTGTGTCATCTGCATAGAGTTGTACGATTTAGAGACGTAGCTGCTCCCAGAGTGTTTTATCTCCAGTCTTAAATTATTCTCTTTAAACTACATTCTTAACATACTCAGTCAATTAATATTATGTCCAAAGAAATTATTTATATTTATCTTCTGATGAATTATGTTTTGTCCATCTTTTAGCACTGGGACATCAAAGGATTTAAACACTGGTACTATTTGTCACTGCAAATACAAAGAAATAATTTTAATGTGAACTGAATGTGTAATCAGTTTACCATTGTATCTAACTCTACCATAAAGCTCATATGTTCAACTTTTAATCAAAGGAACAAATATTTTCATAGATTTTCAATGAGAATAAAATGGACATTTTGTTTACAGAATCAGTCTTTGTTGGTGAGATAATAATGTGGACTCGTCTTATCTCCACAGTGCCTCGATGGGCGATCTACACCATCTTTGCAGCTGGCGGTCTGCTGATTTTGCTCTGCTGCCTGTGTGTCTGCATCAAGTGCTGCTGCAAAGGAAAGAAGAAAAAGAAGAAGAACGAGCAGATTGATCTGAAGGCGGTGAATGGAAAAACAACCACAGCCCTGGTGAGTGGCAGAGGCCAGAGTATCTGATATAAATTTGACTGATACACAACACAAAAACATAATGTATTCTATTGTTTTTTATTTCCACTGAACTGATTATAACTACACACTACAGACTACACATAAAAGATGGAAATAACCATTGGAATGTCTCACGTGTTACTTTTCAGCATGCTATGGTATTCCTGGGCTTTGCCAACCCTCAAGAATTCCTGTGAAAAGACCTTGGTTAATGACAGGCTCCTTGTAAACTGGACAGATATTAGTTGCTGAACAGTTTAGTTACTTTTTGGGTCAAGAAACAACTGGTTAGAACCTTTGACTTGATTTTACTTTTGATAGGTTTGAAAGCGCTCAGTGAAATAACTTTTTGGTTACTGCGAGGGACGATGCCACTGACTCGTCTGTGGAGAATTTACTTTACAGCTGTGCATGTGCCACAGGAATGACTACTCATTGTTGGGTCTCCAGTTGTCCATGTCCACAACAAAATACAATCAAGGTGTTAGGAACTGGCACGCACAACCTGTACTTTTACGTCACTGGGAACATGCGGTTGGCACTTTAGAGAAACCGTTGAGTCAACATGAGACTATGTTAAATAAGACCTGACACTAACAATTAATGCCATAAACTCATCAGGAAAATGTTCACTTAAGTTATTGATCAAGTAGAGCAGTAGAGTAATTTTAGCATAGTTCCAGTGACCCCTGCTGTCCTTTAGATGTAATGCACACTAGGACACCACATGACTTTATTTTTCAGACTCAAAGAACAGACTTGATGTTCTATGTTGTGTCGTTACTCTGGATTTATTTGGTTCTGGGTGTGACATAATTTTATTTTTTTAATTAAAAGTATACAACAGTTTTAGTTTAAAAGTTTAACATGGCTTTACCCCCTGAAAAGGCTTGGACAGCTAATGTGCTTCCTGTGCTCGTCTGACAGGTTCAGCCAGATGTGGCAGATGTTGATTATGGCTCAACCAAAAAGCAGAGAGGAAAGCTGCTCTACTCTCTGGAATATGATGGGCCTCTGTCTGAGGTGATTAAATGAATGTCTAATTGTTTACCTTTCATGCAGCGTTGCACTTCTATAATGTTGCATTCTTATTTTAAACATTTGAATGTGTGAAATTTGTTCAGCTCCTCTTTAGTTTTCAGCTGTGGTATGAGTCAATATCCATCTGTTTCCTGTCGACCTTTACAGCTCAAACTGGGGATCAAACAAGCCAGCAGCCTGATGGCCATGGACCTCGGAGGAACCTCAGACCCATATGTCAGAGTCTACATCCTCCCCGAAAAGAGCAAAACCTATGAAACCAAAGTGTTCAGGAGCACGCTGAACCCTGTCTTCAACGAGCAGTTCACCTTCCAGGTAGGACCTGGTGACTTGCCCTGTTTAGTTGCATTTTCTTAAAAAACAGTTATAATTAAAAATTGTTGTGTATGTGGTGAATTATTGAAGTTGAACGTCAATGCTGCAAATCCTCAAAAAAGAAAGAGCTTCCAACCTTAGTTATATGCCCCCAGCTACCAAAGTCTACCCTCATGAAGTCGACAGCTGTGATGAAAGTGTTTGACTTTAACCGGTTTTCCAAACACGAAATCATCGGCGAGATCCGGGTGCAGCTCTGCAATGTTGATTGGAATCACATCATCGAGGAGTGGCAGGAGCTGGAAGCACCCGCCAAATTTGAGGTTTGCTTTCACACATTTCCTTATTCTTCATGGTCCAAGTGGTGGCATCTAGGAAGGATTTAATCAATTTTTGTCGAATGTATTTCCATATTCTTTAAGGATTCAGTTTCCTAATCCAAACCTCTTGTGTCATTCAAAAAGAAAAAGCAGTCATGTTGCTTCCTGGGACCAATAGTTGGATTAATGGCAGGATTAACAGTTTTTCAAGCTTGGTTTGTTTACTCTTCTCTTCATACTGTCAAAATCTATTCTGGTTTTTTATACTATACCCCAATACATTTTCTTGAGACACTAGCCTGTAGCGGAATCACTGACGCATCCTGAAACTAATTTCATTCAACTCAAAAATCTCAAAACAACCGATTTACACTTCCTGAAGGATCTGTCCCGGGACCTCTCCTATTAATAATCTACTTCCTCATGGTCTCTTCTCTTTTGTAAATTTGATATTAATTTCAATTTTTATGCTGATGACACCCAGCTTTACCTGTGCACCAAACCTCCCACCCACCTCTCTCTTTCGTTGCCTCAAGGAAATCAAATCCTGGGTCTCCAGGAACTTTATCAGATTGAATAGTGTTAAAACTGAGGTCCCCCTCATTGGCACCAAATCCAGGTTATAAAAGGTTCTCCTTTCTCGGTTCCCCCCTCCTCTCAGGTTAGAGTCATCAGATGCTTTCTCCTACCAGACATCTCCTGCCTGACTCTCTCCACTTTCAAATCCCAACACATTTCTTTAAAGTGACTTACTCTTTCTGACCATCTTCCACCTGTCACATGCATCCTCTGTTCTTAATGATTTTTATATACTGCAAATTTGTTTTATTCACTTTGACATTTTTCTTGGCTTTTTTAATTTTTTAAACTCTTCTAACCTTGAATATTTTTGAAAGGCACTTGAGATAAAACGTATTATTCTTATTTTTATACTTGTTAGTAACATTATAGGTTTTGCAGGTTATCCAAGAGGAATGTGAATATTATTTAAATCATTGTGTACTGTCACTAGCACAAGGCTCTCATAATGGGTAGATGGTCACTTTCTCCTTCAGCTTCCTCCTTTTATTTGCATTTTTATTCATTTCAGTTTACTGAAATATATCAGAGCTGATTCAGTTTGTAAGAACTACAGATTTCTGTATGACGTTTGTGCTACAGGAAGAAAATCTAGGAGAGATCTGCTTCTCCCTGCGCTATGTTCCCTCTGCCAGCAAGCTGACTGTGGTAATCCTGGAGGCCAAAAATCTGAAGAGCATGGATGTTGGAGGATCCTCAGGTCAGACTGAAACGGGATCTTAATCAAAAATGTAACTTTTCAAAAACACTCCAGCGTGCTAATTTACAGCAAATCCAAGAACACATTTGCTCTCCATTAAACCAACGGGTGATCACTGGAGGTGTAACAGAAGACAACACTGCCTCACAGTGGTTGACAGCAGTAACTACAGAAACAGTGAAGATGGGAGAAGTTTAGTCATTTCCATCTTCATATTGTGGGAGCTGTACTCGACTACAGCAGCTTCGTTTATCTTACACTGGGGTCTAATGCAGCTTATCTATAAACTGTCTTCTTAAACAGGTTTGAGCAGTAATGCTTAAGTGCTGACCATGTTTAATTTAAACATCTAGCTGTATATTTATTTAAAGAAAGCCATAACGGATTATCTTAACTAAAAGGATGATTATCTAAAATTTCTTTATTGATGCAATTCAGACATGATTGCATCAATACTGTTACAGCTGTTACAATATTCATGTTTCTTGATTCCTGCTTACCTTATTATTTTACCCCATTAATTCTTCTCAGGTATTTTATGCAGGTATCATGCATCTGCATGAAGAAATACAGTTTATAGGTGCTCCGAGTGACTTTCCTCCATGCTGTGTTCGTAGATCCTTATGTGAAGATGCAGCTAGCTCTGGACAAAAGGAAGTGGAAGAAAAAGAAGACGTCTATCAAAAAGAAGACGCTGAACCCTTATTTCAACGAATCGTTCGTCTTTGACGTGTCACTGGATCAAATCCAGGTGAGTGTCACGACATCCTGGCTGAAGCAGATCTTTAACAATATTTGAGACGATCTGAAACAATAGACTGGTCATCGATATTAATTTTACATAAACACAAAACATTTTAACAGTAATTCTGGAGACATTTTGTGATGATGGTTTAGAATATAAAGAATATATATCAGCATAGATCCTGGATTGAACTAACTTGAGAATGTTTTCCTCTTTCCTGACATTTATACTTCTGCACTGGCTGACGCATACACCGTGTCAATAAAAATAAAATTCAACCTGCTATTTTTCCAGTCCTGGTCTAAGTGGTTACATAATACATGCCGCATTGTTGAGAAGGGAAACAGACTCCTGCCACTTTCACATGTTTGATAATTACCCTTTTACTGTTGTTCTGAGTGGCTGTGATTTTCTGATGAACATGGCGCACACACTTTTGTAAACCATCACACACTGAAGGCTTTAAGGTTTTCTACCTCTGGTGTAGGGATTCAGCTCCTTTCTCAAAGAAGAGCCTAATGCAGCCTAACACATAAAGGGATGATCCTCAGCTGTATGCAGTGAGGGAGGCAGCTTTTTAGTTTAACACTGTTATAAGACTGACACTTATTATAAGCACACAGTCACACTTGAGGTATCACATCAAACTAAAAAAATGGATTGGTGCATCCCTGTGGAAAAATTTACTTCACTTCTGTTCAGTTTTATTTATACAGCACCAAATCCCAACAACAGTCGCCTCAGCGCTATATATGTTGTAAAGTAGACCCTACAATAATACATAAGAGAAAAAAAACCCAATCCTGTGACCCTCTGAGCAAGCACTTTGGCGACAGCGGGAAGGAAAAACTCCCTTTTAACAGGAAGAAACCTCCGGCAGAACCAGGCTCAGGGAGGGGCGGGGCCATCTGCTGTGATTGGTTGGAGGGGAGAAAGACAGCATAAAAGACATGCTGAGCCAGAGGTTAATAATAACTATTGATTACATGCAGAGAGGTGTATAAATACAAAGTAGGTGAAGAAGAAACACTCAGTGCATCATGGGAATCCCCAGCAGCCTACACCTATTGCAGCATAACTAAGGGAGGATTCAGGGTCACCTGGTCCAGCCCTAACTATATGCTTTAGTAAAAAAGGAAAGTTTGAAGCCTAATCTTAAAAGTAGAGATAGTGTCTATCTCCCATATTAAAAACTACCACTTTAATGCTGCGCTGATAGTGAGGCGACTTTAAATCTGAATCTCTTTCCTCAGAGGGTGAATCTGGTGGTCTCGGTGTGGGACCATGACGCCGTGACCAGGAATGATCCGATAGGGAAGATCTACCTGGGCTGCGATGCCACAGGGAACCAACTAAGGCACTGGGCCGACATGTTGTCCAACCCGCGACGGCCGGTGGCTCAGTGGCACAGCCTGCTGTCGGCCGAGCAGGTCAACTCCACTCTAACCCTGAAAAAGAAAATCCCCATCCCCAGCAAAATGAAGGAAAGCGCTCAGCAGTGGTACCCTAAATGAAACCATTTAAAACAAAGAGAGATTCAAATATTTTTGATAACCATTTCTCCCTTTGTTCTTCTGATATGGAAATTATTGAATAAGATTACTTTGTATTATACTGTATATTAAGATTTGTAATTATTATTTTTGGTATCAAATCAAAACATGCTAAAATATATTTTCTAACATTTATTTTTGCTTTATAAACACAGTTTAGCCTCTGTAAGATAGCTGTACTGAGTAATACAGTTAGGTCCATAGCTTCAGTACACACTTTCCCTCAGTACAACAACAACATGGTAGATTTTAAATCAAACAGTCAATATGTTCACTCATTATTCCAAGACAAATGAAGTGGATAAAAGAGTTGATTCCAAGTCTTGAACTTCTGAATGAGCCTCATTCAGTAAATGTTTTTACCCTGCGAAAGACACGAGCTCGCACGTGAAACTTCTGCCAGATTCATGACGAGTGGGCACCGGCATCGTTTGTGCTGGCTCTCTGCAATCTGCATACCATCACACTTATTTCTCTATATAAGGAAACAAGTTTATCTCAAAGTGAAACGGGGAGTGATGCTGCTGTAAAAGAGGGAAGAGGAGGAAAGCAGGAGAAAGGCTGACATAAAAAAGTCATTTTTTAAATAAGATTATTACTACTAGTAGTAGAATTGCAATTCTTAGTACTAATCAGTATAAAGGTGTGTTTTTCTTGTGTTTTGTAATATAACCAGAGCTTCATCATTTGTTCATGCATGCAGTCTGGGGCAGTACTATATTTCTTCGTACCGTATGAACAAAGGTACAAAAATGTCAACAGCTAAGCAGCACTGTGAACACCATGCAAGACAACTGATGGTTGTGGAATTCTTTCTATGGTTAAAAACAACAGCTTTACAACAGCTTACCAAGCCAGGACCACTCTTAAGGAGGCAGGAGTATCTCTGTCAAGGTCTACAAACCAAAGATGTCTTACTGAATGGAAATACAGAAAGTTTAGGACATGCTGCAAAGCACTGGGTGGCACTCAAGGCCACCCTCTGTGATCAGACTCTGACAAAATGCTACAAAACCGATCGGACTACATTTTACAGTGCAAAAGGATGATGATACAAGGCTGACTGCAAAAGAAGCGACCCACGAGTTTGTCAAAGCAAAGAAATGGGGATATTCTTCAATTCGCCAAGTCAGTTACCCGAGCTCGATTCAGCAGAGCAGCTTGGGTGTAATTCCTAAACACTTAATGCAATATTTTTGTTAAAGCCGTTGGATTAAAGCTGAACTTCTCCACTTCAACCACATCTTCACTGTTTGATTTCAAATCCCCTGTAGGCAAAGGCAAAATTGCAGTTGTTGTGCCGGTTTCTAAATACTAATGGACCTGGAAATGCATATCATTATTTCTTATGTAAACACACTGAAAGTGAAATGTATTTTAGTCTACAAAACACAAACAACTCTATATGTTTTTATTAAGAAAAGATCTTGTTAACTTTCTACACAGTTGGAATATGATCTAAAAGCTAGAAACAATCGTTTATGGACAAACAAGTCTGAGACTCTCACTCGTCTCCCCTGACAGACGACGACTCAAACAAAAACTGAGCTCAATCAAGCAGAGTTCAGCAGGTGCCTTCTCCTGCTGGCTCAGGCCTCCAGAGACCGTCCTCATTAAATGCTCTGTGAATGCACAGCTCAGTGCATTCACAAAACGGGAGATTTTCACTCTGTCAGCATCTGATGTTAAAACATCAACTACGATGAGCCTCTGTTGACTTGAAACTTTGATTTCATAAGCAAAAATGACCCTACCTCTAATAAAGTTTGAAAACATTGGCAGATACTGGCTTTGAGTGATATAGACGCTTCAGCTACAGATTGTTTGTTTGTTGGATATTTAATGTTTCTCCAGGATCAGCTGAAGCGATATGGCTTCATGATGTAAGACGATGGGTCTAAAATGGATTCAGGCTGCTCTGTGGTTCCTCAAGACAAAAAAGACTCCATCATCTCGCAGCGTTTCAAACCTAAACCACAATCGATGGAGTTTAGCTTATTGCTTACAATGCTGAATACAAACAATTATTTTAAGAGGATTTCTTTTTTCAGAACTTTCAAGGGAACTTCAGAAAACGTTCCCTGAAAGTTATTTCGGGAAACCTTCAGAGCACCTTCAGGGGACCTTTCTGAAGGTTATTCTGCAAAGCTCCCAAGACCTTACGAGGACCCTAATCTCAACAGTCCCTTTTAAAGGTGCACTATGGCGCAGAACACCTGGAGGACCTTCTGTTGAACTTCTACAACCCTTCAATCCCAATAGAAGCTTTGTTATGTTGTCACATCGTCAAAGGACCTGCCTTAATGTTCTCCGGTTGTGTGAAAAGCCCAGAGGGCCTTCAGAGAACTCAGTAGTATTTTTTGGAGAACTTCAGGAAGCAAGAGCTTGTAGGTTCACAGGGAAAAGGAAGAAAGATCCTTATCAGAGTGGGAACAAGCTCAAGAAAGTCACCCCAGATTGACTGATTAATTTCTTTCGTTCATCCATCCATCCCCCTACAATCGCCACTTACTTTCTCCTTTGCTCTTGTCATAATTACCACAGCCGCTAGAGTGTACCATCACAATAAGCTTCCATAACAAATGATCTACGGGCTTGTATTTTACTGGTCAACATTATATTGCTGCTCCTGATTTACAGGAGGCCAGTGAAGGCTCAGCAGACCTGATAGGGACGAGCCAAGAAGCTTGGAAGCTCTCTTTGAAATGTAAATGTCACCCACTTAAGGACACACAAGATCTTCTCTCCACTTTCTGTCACCTGCAGATGACACTGAGATGACAATGGAAGGACACATTTGTAGTCTAAGCATTAGTGATTTTATTCTGTCTCATTAAAAATAAACGTTAATGAATAACGGGAACATCAGTTGAAGGAATACAAGTCGGGAAAAAAATATTGCCGCACATTTTTTAACTAACCTGTCATTACTAGTGCAATTTTCTGTTAGGGCATCAGCAGCAACAGAGCCAGCTGATGAAGCTGATTAGGCTTGGCCTGGGTCTGGGGTCTCTGGAGCCCCTACAGGTGTTTCCTGGGCAAAGATTGTTGCTGAACATACTGGACAACACCTCACATCCCCTAAAGGACCTACCGGTCAAACAGCAAAGTGTGTTCAGCAGCAGCCTCCTTCAACTCTGCTGCAATTACAACAAAAATCTTACTCACTCCACCTAAAATGGGGGATTTGTGTCTTCTCTGAGCAGCGATCTTTGACTTGTTAGACGGATTTGCAAACCTTTACACCAGGGGTCCCCAATCCCGGTCAACGAGGGCCGGTGTCCCTGCAGGTTTTAGATTTCATCCTGGGTCAACACACCTGAATCACATGATTAGCTCATTACCAGGCCTTTGGAGAACTTCAAGACACGTTGAGCAGGTCATTTATCCATTTAAATCATCTGTGATGGATCAAGGACACATCTAAATCCTGCAGGACACCGGCCCTCCTGGACTGGGACTGGGGACCCCTGCTTTACACTAAGCCACTAATGCAAGAACTCTCTCTCTATACCTTAATGTAACATCATGCAGTATTTTGTCATTTATTCCTTTTTAATTACAGTGGCTTCTGTGTATTTACTTTCCTTGCTTTATCTCCATCATGCCATTTGTTGTGTTTGTACTTGGTGTGAATTTGCTCTCTGTTTCACTTTCTCTCACCTGGTTGAGCAGGTGACCCATGTGCTGAAGTACAGAAGGCTAGATACCTGGGTTTGAGTGTCTGCCGGGCTGCTTCCTCTGTGTCATTCTCCTGCACTGTCTCACTACACTTTCCTATCCAATAAAGGTAATAAATAAATGAAGTTAAACAAACAAAAATTCTGATCCACAGGAGTCAAAATGGGACAGCTTTTATATTTTACCTCCTTAACAAAGGCCTTAAATATGAAAATGATCCATTAAAGGGTTCCTAATCTGCTTCAGACTCACCTATAACGTAACAATTAAACTAATGTAGCTCTCAGAATTTTGCTAAGGGGCCTCGAGTCAAAAACAATCTTCTTTTTCTTATTTTGTGTCAATATTCTGTTCCAGTGGTGGACATTCATGCTTATTAAAATCACTAACTGGTGATGAATCCCATCCCTTTTCAGTAATAATTAAAATGTACCCAAAATACCACACATTTTAATTATTATTTTGAATAACAATTCATTCTATAATAAAAAAATATCAGTGTTATCTGTGTTTGAAGTCGATGAATTGTTAATAAAGGTGCAAAAGTAAACTGGAGAATAAACTGGAATCACCTATTTGCGAGAAATTCAGTGTCTCCTGATCAGCTTAAACCAGCCATGGCCTTCATTGTCCGGCTTATCTCCTGTGAATTTACCCTCCTGCTTATTGACAAAGGCCGCTGAATACACTCACACTTCATTATGGAGAGCAGTGACATCAGCAGATCGGTGGGTTACCAGGTTACCCGAAGAGAAGCCCAGACCATCCAATTAAAGCATACGAAGAAGAAGAACAGGATCAACTCTGCTTTCAGACGAAACTGCTTCAGTCATTGAGTCTGAGAAACAGCTGCAGCCTGCGCCTCTCTCTCTCACACACACACACGGTGAGTAGATCCAATAAACTTATGCTACAGACTTCACTTTAGACGTCATCTGACCATTTCTGCCATAAATATGAATTTATATTTATTTAGTGAAATATTTGGAACTTTAAACGAATGTTTCCATCTTTAATCCTTAATTCTTTTGTAAGGTTTTGTCTTTGTTTAACTAGACACAACCACAAAATATACTCTGGATTACATAAAAAATAGAACGAAATAGTCAAATAGATCTAATAGATCTTAAGGAAAGCTATGGTACAATGAGCTAGGGGTAGATTAAGCACCTAACAAAGACTAGTTCACTGGTAACCTGTTCAGGGTTAACGACATTTACAACTAAGCCTTTAAACAAAATATCTGCGCGTTTCATTGAAATAGTACGCATGGAAGAACA